GCACTGCTGTGCGTCCCTGTTATGGCCTCTGTCCTTCATGGCCTTTGAGACCTTTTCTAATATTTTGCCATTTCGTTTACTGCTACAGAGTTCAGCTAGCACAGATTCGTCTCCCCATATGGGGAGCAGATCCCATACCTCCCGTTCTTTCCATGCTGGAGCTCTTTTGCGATTCTGGGACTCCATCATGGTTACCTGTGCTGATGAGCTCTGCGTGGTCACCTGTGCTGTCCACGCTGGGCAAACAGGAAATGAAATTCAAAAGTTCGCGGGGCTTTTCCTGTCTACCTGGTCAGTGCATCTGAGTTGAGAGTGCTGTCCAGAGCGGTCACAATGAAGCACTGTGGGATAGCTCCCGGAGGCCAATAACATCGAATTCCGTCCACACTGCCCCAAATCCGACCCGCAAAGGCCGATTTTAGCGCTAATCCCCTCGTTGGAGGTGGAGTAAAGAAACCGGTTTAAAGGGCCCTTTAAGTCGAAAAAAAGGGCTTCGTCGTGTGGATGTGTCCAGGCTTAATTCGATTTAAAGTTGCAAAGTCGACCTAAACTCGTAGTGTAGACCAGGCCTCAGTGTTACTGTGTTGGTTGAGAAAGGATGGGGTATGGAGAAAGAAGATTATGTGGCTCAGGGTAAATTTGGGCTCAGCTGTTAATGGGTGCACAGAGGGAGAGGAGTCTCACACTCCCTCATAGCTGCCAAGTACTATTCATTCATCACACAACTAGGTGATCCCTTGAGAACATTGACTGTTTTTGTGTGGCAAAAGACACCCCAAAGCTGTCAGGGAGAAAGCATGGCCAGCATTCTGTTCTCCCTTTACAGCAGCCAGTGGAGTTGGCTGTGCATGCTGTGGGGAGCAGGCCACATGACCTGAAGAGGTGAGCTGTAACCAACTTGTTCTGCGTGGAGAGAGCTCTTGGAGATATTCTGCTTCTCTGCGGCAGTGCCTGTAACACAGGACTGAGCCCTTAGTGTGTATTGGGGAGGAAAGGGGACAGAAACAGAGAGAAATGTGAGCAGCAGAGAAACCATGAAAATAAAAGAAGTGGACAGTAAGAAAAGAAAGGGAAGTAGCATAACAGACCAGAACAAAGGACAGATCCAGGAAAGAAGGGACAGTGAGGTTGACAGTGTTTGTGTCACTCCATTAGAAAGCAGCATGCTAATACTTTTGCTACTTGAAAAAAAGCCCACACCAGTGGTTTGAAATGTTGTACAGTGGGTACTTTAATACTGTAGACTATCACATTCATTTGACCTCATTTTCTAGAAGAGTCCAAATTTTCTAAATAACTTCAGATGTTTGTATTCCTGCCTACCCAGTCTAGTGGCTTAGTGAATTGTTCTGAGAGTTTAGGCAGAGAAAAAAATGACCACTCATTCAAGACAAATTCCTGAGAGTTGGTGGCCCATATTACATTAGAGTTCATAGTAATCTGTTATACTCTCTTGCAGTACTTGTGGCACCTTAGAGACTAAGAAATTTATTTGAGCATAAGCTTTTGTGGGCTAAAACCCACTTCATCGGATGCATGCAGTGGAAAAGTATACGGCATTCATCCGATGAAGTGGGTTTTAGCCCACGCAGGCTTATGCTCAAATAAATTTCTTAGTCTCTAAGGTGCCACAAGTACTCCTCGTTCTTTTTGCTAATACAGACTAATACAGCTACCCCTCTGAAACCTATGCTGTCTTGGCAACTCTCCTTCTGACATTAGCCTCAGTCAGGTTCAGAATATACAGGTAAGTTACCCTCGTTAGTTTGGATTTCCAGTTTCAGTAATTTGCACTTACTGCACCAGCACAGGCAGCTGTGCTCAGTTCACCCCATGGGAGAGCAGGTGGTATTTTCCCTGCTGTGCTCCCTCAGAGGTTCTACCAGAGGCTGGTAGCCTCAAACTTTAGTGAAGGTTCTAGCACATCCTTCATCCACATCCACTCCTCAGCTAGCAATACCCCTTTTGTGGCTGCATTGGTTCTTTGCAGGACCACAGTGGAGGGGAAGATGCCAATTGCTCTTTAGACTTTCTGCTCTCTAGAAACTAGAGAACCTTTCCCAAACATATTGTCTTTTGACCTATACAGACCTGATAACTCAGAACTCTCACTGATTTCGATGCAAGCTGTTGTAACATAAGATGAAAATTAATGAAAATTCCTGTACTGTGCAGAGGAGGGATTGGGGGAGTTCCCCACCCCATCTGGAAAATTCTTTGTGATCCCAAATTTTGAGTCCTACAGTCTTCTGGGCTCCATTTTTTTTCTAATGGGGATACTGGTATTTTGACTGCTGTGTGCATTTTATATTTCCAGTCTATGGTGAGCTGCAATATGTTTGTCATCAACAGTCAAAATACTGACCTGGAGAGGGATTTTTTTTTAAATAGGCATTGATACCCTAACAAAAATATAACCCCCCACAGCTGCCTCGCCTGCAGGGCTTTTCTAAATAGCAGAATGGATCAAAGGATGTTTTTATTTCCTTGTGCAGAGGAAAAATTCATCACTTTGTAAGTCAGAGCAAAAATGAATCAAATCAATACCAGGTTATATCAGGGAGCTTTTTAATAATAATACATTTCTTATGGCTAAACTCAGTTAGTATGACTCTCAGCAGTTGGTACTGTATATAGTTGAAAACTTTATTCCATCTGTAACAAACTTTAATTTGAACCAAGGTCAAGAATGCATTAAAAAAATAAAAAGCTCAGAGTGAGATCCACCTACACTCAAGATAGGGCTGGCTTGGCACGGGTTTGGATCCCAATCCCATATTCCTCTAATTTTGAGGTAGTATGTGTCCAGAGCCAGTTTCTTTATTGTAGTTACAGTGACAGCATAACCTGGCCGTAAATCGTTGCCCAGGGAGGGATTTCCCCAGAGTAAGCAAGATAATTGTATGGAGTAGAGCCTGAACTGGGACGGTTATGCCACATGACCTCTCTGCTGCCAGCATGGTAGGGAAAAGGGATCATGACTGGGGGAAATATATCGTAAGCTCTATTTTCAGTCCCTTCTGATTCTAGCAACCTAGCATAGGTTATAAAAGCCTTTAGGCTGCTCTAACACAGCACAAGAGTAACAGTCATGCACAGAATAGCACCAGGATCAGGAAGTCCAAAGGAGAGCTTCTAAACACCCTTCAAACAGCACACTGACTTGCAATCAGCATTATGGCCACAATTAAGAGACCTGGCCTCCAGCACCCTGCTTCAGGTCCATCTTACAGAGATGTGTCTGAGTTTCAGTGTTTGGGTTTACCTGAACTTTCCCCGAATCCAAGAGTTCTGATTCCAGTTCAGGCTGATTTCGGATTTAAACCAGTAATGGTAAAATATAAAAGCTGTAAGATAAAATTAATTTGCACAGCCCACATAAGTGTGAAATAACATATGAAATATGTAACAGTTATACAAATCAGAAATCACTAAGCCTCATGAGATTGTGCTATGTCTTTGGGAGGTGGATTGGAGCAATTCAGGCATAAAGACCTTGGATGTAATCCTGGCCCCACTGGAGTCAATGGCAAAACTCCCATTGATTTCAGTGGGGCTAATATTTCACCCTTTGTCTGTATGTGCTTGTATCACCTTCTTCGGTCATTTAAAATGTCTTGTTACATATGTACTTAGCATTATAATTTTGGTTACGGACATGTTAACAACAATGAACAATTAATAACTATATTAATTTCCTATTATATATGATAAATTATATATTACTAAGTTTTGTTAAAACATCGTATGTACTGTTGTGGGACTACAGTGTTCTTATCGCAAAAGCAATTAAAATTAATAAATTAATAGCTGCACTGCATAGGAATATATTAAGTTAGAAACCTTTGAAAATAACATTTACTAAGCTACAGTTCCTTCAGATCCTACGAGCAAGAAGAAACCCCTTATACAGAACTGTTTTCTGTTTTGCAATAAGAGATGGGCCAAAAATACCAGACCCAAACATCCGCAAACTCTGGCATGTTTGGAATCTGAGTCTAAATCTGTATTTTATGGCTTAGGCTCATCTCTACTTTGAACTGTTGTTTGAAAATAAATTTATTCTTCCTTGGGAAGTCAAGGAGACCATGTTGGAGACTTCTGCTGTTTCCATTTGCACTGTGTGTGTGCTGTACTGTGGCTGGATAGTTCATGCATACTCCCCTGTTTTTATAAACATATCCAAAATCACTTGCGTAGACCACTGCAATTTGAACACCTTTTTTGGTTGATGTATAAGAGAGAACCTCTGTTTCACCTTCTTATGGAATTTATTGGCTTCTCTCCTGATAAGTGTTACTGAGGATGTAATAATTTATTTTAACTGTGTTGACACAGACTTTCAAAGCTATTAGAAAGATTGTGTTATAAGCTAACAGTGTCATACTTTGTATCAAGAGATGCAAGTTTGTACTGAGATCACTAGATAACACTTCCTTTGAATAAAACTTGAAGTTCTGGCACGCGAACTGACCATTTGGAATACAACATAGTCTTTCAACAAGACAGTGCACGGGGTAGGGACATACCAAGGGGAAACATTGGCATCTAGACATTATAGTGATTGTCAGACACATTAAAAAGCTGTAAGGTGGCAGTGAGAAAGAGAAGAAAAAACCCTTTTGCTCCCTTGGTGCATGCACAAATTTTCTGATTGTCCCTAGTGCAGTTGACTGCAAAGAGAAGGATCTACTAAAACATTTTATACAAATGTAGCAGAAAATTAAGATATTCTCCTTTCTTTAGATGTTACATCTATATGGCAGCCACACATAGATACATTTCTTTTTGTTTCAGAATTTCTCTAACATTTCACATGCTTACACTGAGGGTAGAGACACAGACAAGTATTACTACCGTATTAATGTATATAGCAGTGTCACTGAAGCTACATCTCCCTCCCCACCTCCTTGTTGTATAAAGATGAAACAGTTCAGATACCCAAGGTTACTGCTGTGATGTTTGAGATCAAAGTGGCTGATGTCTTCACTTGTTTTTAGGTTGACTTTGAACAACTTCAGGACAACTTATGTCAGATGGAGAAAAGGTGCAAAGCATCATGGGATCATCTTAAGGCTATAGCAAAGCATGAAATGAAGCCAACGCTGAAGCAAAAAATGTCTGAGTTCCTTAAAGACTGTGCAGAAAGAATCATAATTCTGAAGATTGTTCACAGAAGAATAATTAACAGGTACAGCATTAGGGCACTGATGGGAACAACCTCAATTACTTATTTCAATGTGCTTCAAACCACGTTTCAAGACGTATGTTTACCAACATATCTGTTGAGAGTTCTTTATAACAGATGTTCATTTGTTCCCGATATTTCCTAACTTCAGCTGAATATTGTATTTCTGCTGAGAAAAACAACGACTGACAATTATTTTCTTACATATAACTACACGCTGTGGTAAAATCCTGAAATCCTACTCAGGCAATTTCCTTGTGTCTTTAATGATATATTTGCCATAGTAAAGATTGAGTAACAAGTTCTGTATCTGGAGCTAGTACTATATATATCTTGTACAATCTGCTAATGCTCATTTATACACAAGTGCCACTGCTAGTATATTTCCAGATTCATAAACTCACACAGATGATTTAAATATGCCCAATAATGATGATAATACCTATCTCTTATGTAGTGCTTTTCATCCATAGATCTCAAATTGCTTTACAAAGGACAATGGTATCATTACCCCCATTTTGCAGATGGGGAAATAATATATAGTTGTACACAGAATTACCAAAGGGAGTTCAAACAGGCCCAAATGTGTGAATGTACAGATCTGGGATGTTAGTTCAGCCCATCTGTTTTCTCATTCATGAATTCTATTCCACCTTCTAAATAAGTAGTACCCCAAATATAGCTGAGTAGCAGTGAAAGCAGGAACTTACAAGTTTCCTACTGGGTTTATCACATATATTGTGTTGGATTTAAAAATAAGTAGAATAGTGTTTTCTTTACTTTAAATTACATAATATAACTATTAGTCTAAGCCTCTCCAAGATACTTTATTTATTCAATCACATCTTTCATTTCCATTGTAATGAGTGTTTTAATTAGCATGGACACAGTAGATAAAAATAGATTCACAAAGATCTATACATTCAGTAGTCCATTGTGAATAATGTGGTACAGAAGCAGCAGCAGCAAAGCTGCAAATAATACAAAAAGCTGTGAGTAATACTGAATCAACAGTAAAGTTGTGAACTCAAAACACCCCAGACTGAAAGTATTTGGATGTTACAACGTTTTATGGTTTTCTTTTTGAACTAGAAATGCCTCTCTTCCTGTGTTGCTAGCCTGTAAATCTTCATTCTTCTTGTCTAGACTTTCCCCAACTTCTTAACAGCCTCTTTGAAGTTGCTTAATACAAACAAATGGAATTAAAGCATAATTTTTTTTCGATATCTGAAATGAAATTGTTCATTCACATGCCAAATTGGTAAAATAAAATGAATGGAGTTTCATAAACATCTTATCTCTTATATCAGCATGGGGAAATGGGTTGGGATGAAGTTATCATAGACTAGCCATTTATTTGCATTATGTTTTTAATTATAAACCATGCCAGTGATGTTTAAGGAATCCATGAAAGTTCCACAGCATGTAAAAAAAAAAAAAAAAATAGATGAGAGCTCAGAAGACAATAAATGGATCAATTAGAATCTTTTTTACTGGAAATGTAAAGTTTTTGAATGTTTTTTTTTTTCATTTTTAAAAGCTGTCATTAATTCATTTTGTTTTTAGGTTCCATGCATTTTTGTTATTTATGGGTCATCCTCCTTACGCAATCCGTGAAGTCAACATCAATAAGTTCTGCAAAATTATTAGTGAATTTGCTTTAGAGTATCGCACCACCAGGGAACGAGTTTTGCAGCAGAAGCAGAAACGCGCCAACCACAGGGAAAGAAACAAGACCAGGGGGAAAATGATCACAGATGTAAGTGGCAAAATCAAATCCACTGTGGCAAGTATTTGTGAAGCTTTCTTTTTAGTGAATGCCATACTGTAGATGTTATGCTTCATTCACTAACCTTCCTTTAAGGATTCCCTCCGCTATGAATAATGTACTCTGTATTCTTTGGTAAATCAATTTTATGTTTTTCTTTGTCATTGACTATAAAAGCTTCTGGATTCATAGCAGCTTCTGGATTTGGACAAAACAAGACTAAGAGTTCATAAAGAAAATCTTCCGTATGTTGCATGAACAAATTCATGCACAATGTCTGTTTTCAACAAAGAATAGAGTAGGAATTGAGGGCACCTTACTGAAGAATATGGCCAAGAATATAAATAACACAACCCTAAAGTTAGACTGCCAAATCATTCCATATATCAATTTACTGACCACATATTTAGGTGCTTATATACGGGTTTAGGTATGTAACATTAGGTTCCCATTTGGGAAAGTCCTGACTTGCAAACTTAAATATTATAGTGTTTTATATGTATAGTATCTATTTTTTATTAGATAAAAATATATTACATAAGAGTCAAGTACGGCCTCTTTCAGATTTTATTATAGATTACTAATTTAGATTCTCTTTAGCTGTTACCTGATAAATTTCGCTGACTGTGTTCAGGCTACTTTGGTAAAAATAAGATGAACTTTCTCTTCATCTTTAAAGATCCTCTGATTTTTTTTATCTTCTTTTAAACTGATGCAGTTTCACTCAGTCCAAATAAAGTTTTAAGAAGTGCCAGTACTTAATAAAAGTTTCCAGCTGTCTCAAAATCCAAATCTGGAGTTTCGATTAGACATGAGTGGTTCATCGCATATGAAGCTACCCATATCCTGCCTTTGGCATGAAAAACCCAAAGTTGATTACAATTTTATGGCCAACAGCTCAGACAAGTTAGGTAAAGAAACAAAATGCATCAGACCCATATTGGGATTGTATTTAAGTTGTTGACTCACAATCATTTGTAGATCTTTCCTGGCAATAACCTTTCAAATTTTGGAAATCTTCCTCATCTGGGAGAGAATTTTAGAGCCACATTATTATCTCAAAAGATTTTCCTTTTGGACTAGTCCCAGGTAGAGGAAGGGCTCTGATTCTTTGCAAAGGGTTTAAGGTAGACATGAAAAATTTCACGTCTAGTATTAGGGAACTGAAGCTTTATACTTGCATTGCACCCTAATTTCTCTGTAACATTCTTGAGGAGTTAAAATGTGACACTAACCAAAAGGATTGGCAAATTAAATAAATTAAATGCCAAGTAGCATCAGTGCTTTTCACCAGTTCAGATAATGGCAAGCGGGGGAGGGAGGGTTCCTATTATGCCAGTATACCATGGAGCGTTTCTGTACCAGGATAAGTGGCAGCAACAGGACTGAAGGAGCTTCTTCGAGTTCTTTTGCATCAGGAAGTGAGAGAAGGGAAAAGTGGCCGTTCATCTGCTCACCAGAAGAAATATCCAGGGAGATGGAGAGAGGAAGTGGGCCTGCATGCTGACCCTATCACAGTAGAACAGGATGTAGGTACAAGCCAGTGGTCAGTCACTAAAGATCTGAGCCAGGGAGGTGGGCCATTTCCTGAAGATGTGAAAACAGGAGAGAGTGATTGGGCCTTCCCCAGAAGGGCTTGTTATAGGACAGGGAAGAAGAATAATCAGACCAGGATAGTATTTGTATTTGGGAGAAATTGAGTATCATATGAGCAGTAGAATCCCAGCTACAAATATCCTCCATGTCTGAGTTGTAGGATATATGCTTAGCATTAATTCACAATTATATGCTGATCCTATGAGCTGAGAAAGCCTAACGGAGTGAAGAGCATTCTCTAAAATTCTCAATGTAGAACCTCTAAGAACATAAGAATGGCCATACTGGGTCACACCAAAGGTCCATCTAGCCCACTATCCTGTTATCCGACAGTGGCCAATGCCACGTGCTTCAGAGGGAATGAACAGAACAGGTAATCATCAAGTGATCCATCGCGTCGCCCATTCCCAGCTTCTGGCAAACAGAGGCTATGGATACCATCCCCGACACATCCTGGTTAATAGCCATTGATGGACCTATCCTCCATGAACTTATCTAGTTCTTTTTTGAACCTTGTTAT